CACCGGATTTGTGGGAAAGCAGTTGAACATAAGTAATTCTTGAGAAATCATCCACAATGGTTACAAAGAATTTATGACCAGAATAAGTTGCAGTTCTATATGGTCCCCAAATATCAACATGCAACATTTCAAAAACACAAGTTGTTTTTATTGAACTGGAAATGAAAGGAAGTTTATGCATACGTGCTTGAGGACAAACATGACATACAGATGAAGATGAAGAATCAATACAAGGCAACTGAACAATGTGTTTTATTCTATTGGATGGCAAATGCCCCAATCTACAATGCCACAACTCACTAACAGACATACAAGACAAAGGAGAGGTGGTAGAGACTTGTGAAACTGGAGGTGTGAGCTGTTGCACAAAGTATAAACCCCCATGCTGTTTACCAACCAGCAAAGTATTCTTCTTCACATGATCCTGAATCAAACAGTGGGAGGGATAAAAGATCAATGAACAAGACAGCTGTGAAACCAATTTTTGGACAGAAATGAGATTAAAATGGAAGTCTGGGACATGAAGGACATCAGAGAGGATAATTCCATTTGATAACTTCACATTTCCAATGTGAAGCACACTGGCTTTTTGGCCATTGGGTATGGTGATGGAACAAGGTTTGGAAATGGGTTTGAATGAAGAAAAATTAGTCAAATGTGGGGTAATGTGATCTGAGGCTCCACTATCAATGATCCATTGTGTATTGTCATATGAAGAAAAGAAACAATGACTAATACCTGCTAAGTGACCACTTGAGGCCATGTGACTGGAAAGAAAACCAGGGACTCCACCATCATCTCTGTCTGAAAGATTGTCTTTATTTAGGAGGGCAATCAGTTGATTATATTGAGCACTGGTGAGAGACATAGGCAGTTCAGCAGAATGATGAACGTGATTTGTGTTGACAGTTTGCCCAGTCATGACATTCTCTGTTTCAGAAACCACATTCCCAGCAATCTTTCTTGCCTGACTCCCTTGATCATTTGAAGAAGTGTATCCTTTACTTGATTTAGGATAACCATGGATTTTGAAGCACCTTTCAACTGAATGACCATAGATTTTGCAATGCTGACAGAAGTATTTGGACTTCCTTCCACTAGGAGTAATTCCAAACACAGGTTTGTTAGAGCCAACAGAAACATGATTCAATGAAGCCAAAGCACTGGACTCACTGCTCAATGGACTAGAGCTGCTGCAATCCCTTTGAGTTTCTTCTTGAGCAATCAGTTTGTAGGCTTGGCTCAAAGTAGGAAGAGGCTTCATCATAATGATATTACCTCTAGCAGTTTTGAAGCTATCATTAAGTCCCATTAGAAATTGCATCAATTGTTGATTCTGAAGCAGTTTAATGTAATTTCCAGCTCCTTCACACTTGCAATGTGGTAGAACTATCATTGTTAAGTATGTGTCCCAAAGTCCTTTCAGTTTGGTGAAATATTCAGAGACAGAATCAGAACCTTGAACCAGAGTCACTATTTCCTTGTGCAGCTAAAATAGCTTTGGTGCATTGCTTTGTCCAAAGCGATCATCAAGATCCTCCCATATTTCCTTGGCAGATTCACAGTATAATACACTGTTCGCAATTCCAGATTCAACAGAGTGTAGAATCCAGGATATTACCAGATTGTTGCAACGATTCCATTGTGCGAAGGTAGGAGATGACACATCTGGTGGTTTCGAGCTTCCATCAACAAATCCTAACTTGTTTCTGGCTCTCAACGCAATTTCAGCAGATCTTTTCCATTGCGGAAAGTTTTCGCCGTTCAATTTCTGTGATGCCAGCGAAAAATTTGGTGAATCAGTGGGATGCAGATACAATTCACTTTGTATGTCGATTGAAACGTGCGAGGAAGAATTCTCCGCCGCCATGAATATCTCGAACAATTGTAGAAGAATCAGAATATGAATTCAAGCCTTCAGAAGAATCGGAAATCTAGACGCCATTGAAGATAGGCTTTGATACCATGTTAAGTTTCTTTGGAGAAGAAGAAATTGTAAAACAAACGCAGGAAAAATCCATTAAACCGAGGCTCAAATTTGTCTCTAAAAATCTGATCTAACAGGAGGAAGAAACTAGCTATATAAACTACCATAACAGATCAAACAGAAAATCCAAAATACAAGGGAAATTAGTTAGAAATGACAGGTGGCACTAAGTGGTTAGAAGTGGAAGCTGACTGCGCAGCTTGATCCTTCACAAAAGGGGCGATCATTTCACTGCATGTGTAGAATTCTTGAAGATTGTTCCATTATATTCCCTGTGTAATTTTAAAATGCACTTTCTCAAATAATGCAAACCGGAGTAGCTTACTCCGTTTGTCATAAATTCTTTAGTCAAAACGGAGTAGCTAACTCCGTTTCAAATGATTAATTAGAGGGAGTAGCCAACTCCATTCACTTTTTTTTAAATCAAATTTTTTCTTAAGTTTCTCAACTTTGTTCGTATAATTTTTTAAAAAATCAATTTTTTTCCTTAGCCAACTCCATTCACGTACTCCCTCCGTTCCAAATTATTTGCCACATTTACTTTTTCAACAGGCGCGTGAACTTTTGTTTATTTCTACGTTTTCATTGATTATTTGATAAAATAAAATATTCTTGACACCTCTTATTTCGAAAAACTTTTCATGTGGTTTTTTGATATGTAATTTTTATTTTTTATTTCTTTACCAATATATAAATAAAATGAATTGAAAAAACTTGATATTTTTGCCTCGGTAATAGAAATGTGACAAATAATTTGGGACGGAGGGAGTATTATTTTTTTTAAGTCAAATTTTTTCTTTATTTCTCAACTTTGTTCCTATATTTTTTTTAAAAAAATCAAATTTTTCCTTTATTTCTTATAATTGAAAAACAATTTTTTTTATAAAAAGCAGGATATTATTTACATATAATGAAACAAACACTCTACTAAAAATAAAATGCATAAAAAATAATTATTTATTGACTTTAAATAATGCACCATACTGATAAGGGTTTTGATCCAGAAACCCTTCACCACCGCCAGTCCTCTTGTTCGGCCGTACGTTTGGTTAAGGAGGAGGTGAAGAAAAACCCTTTTTAGGGTTAGAGGGAGAGAGAGATGAGAAAAGAGATTGGGGTGGAAGAGGTTTATTATTAATGCCTGTGTGAGAAGGGTTTAACCTCTCGTATTTATAATAACACATCCCCAAACCCTAATTACTAAATTATCTAACCTGTCGGTTCAAAAAAGGCGTCGAGGTAAAGAACCGAAAAGAAAAAAAGAAACCCTCGAAGGAGCTTATAATACGCTCACCTAAAAAAAATCTAAATTACAATAATTATTAAAAACAGATATTTAAACATAATCTTGGTAACGTCGGGGTGGCCCGACCTTTCTACGCGGACGGCCCAACGCCACTGGCCGAGCATGGGCTGCATGAGTTTCTTTGGCCGCACGAGGGTTCTCCGTATCACATACACCGAAATTAAAATAAGAAGTAAATCCCAACAAATTTATTCATAAATTACATAAAATTTATTCATAAAAATAAGGTTACAAAACACATGCCATAACTAATTTATTTTGTGAAATTCATAAAACATAAACTTAGACATAATTGGAATCCATGATATAGCTATTGTTCACTGCGACGTCGCCGTGGACGGTAGTCCATGTTATTCGGATAGCGAGTTCTTGTAAGTCGACTGGTTTGTGTCCTCGCTCGTGCAGTTGGTCTCACTATCTCGTATCCTGGAGTAGGCCATTCGGCCTCATCGGAAAGCGGCATTAGGATGCCCGAATAAGCATTGATGTAGGACTGGATTGAAAAAACACTAGGAATCAAATGATCCACGGTGACTCTACACTGATGACATACCGTGTGGACATGAATGCACAGAATGTGAAATGTTACCCATTCTTCACAGGTACATGTTCGTGCATTTAAGTTTACCGCAAATGTTTCGCAGTGACCATTGTTGGAGGACCCATCCACAACCACAGAGTATATCCCATGATGTGCGTGGTGCTGCACAACACGACAATAAAGTCTATTTTCTTCATTTTTCTTGATATTTTTCCACACATTCATTGGAAAATTATACCCGGATTGTTGCCACAAATATCCATTGGTCCGCCTATCAGCAAAAAGCTTGACCAATTTGTCATAGGTGAACCTCACAATGGCAAAGACGGGCAAACAACGACATCCCTTAAGGACATTATTGAAGCTTTCTGACGAATTTGTGGTCGTTATACCATAGCGTGTGCCACCTTCATCATGGACAATGCCCACATGTGTTTTGGAATAGCCATAAGCCAGTTGTAAGCTTTTTGATTTTTTGATGCTATCTGGAGAAGCGTCTGCTCAAAGTCACTTCTGCTAGGGGTCTCACCAGCATTGTACATCATATTCCTTAGTTTTTTACTTAGAAACTTGTTATGGAAATTGCTTCGCAAGTGGTGGAGACAAAATCTTCGAGTGACTTGACCTCCCTGCTATTCTAGAACATTTGTGAATGCGTGATCAATACCACCGTGCCTATCAGATATTATGCATATATGGCGATGTGGAGGCACGACATGTCGCATGACATTTGTCATGAACCACTTCCAGCTTGCATCATCCTCAACATCCACAATGGAAAAAGCTAAGGGAAAAATGTCACCATTTCCCGTCATTGCCACGATAATTAATAAAGTTCCCTTATACTTGCCATATAAGTGAGTTCTGTCCACTGAAACAATCGGAAGACAATAGTGAAAGCCATCAATGGATGCCTTGAATGCCCAAAAACATACCTGAACTCAAATGTAGTCGGTGAGTTCGTGGGTTGTGTTTGCAAATCCACAATTGGCTCATGGTTTGATCCCATAATTGTCCCATGGAAGTCAGTGTTATTATTCGAAAGGTGGGTGTGACTATTATTGTAGGGTAGGTGGGGGTGAGTATTTTATTTAATTAGGTGGGTGTGAGTAAAATGGGTAGGTGCGAGGTGGTGGATATTGGTAGTTGGGAGTGAAAAGGGAGTTAGGTGGAAGTTAGTGTTATTATTAAGAAGGTGGGTGTGACTATTATTGTAGGGTAGGTGGGAGTGAGTATTATTTCAACATAACACATCGTAAAAAAATAAATTATCAAACCAAATATTTCAACATAAACAAATATCTGAACAAACTTTTTAAAACATCGAAACATTAAGTACCCAGCACAATATATTAAACATAAGAAAACTACTAAAGATAGTGGCTACCAGTACCACATTGTGTTCCACGTCGATTACGTCTTGGACGAAGACCCTGCTCTCCTTCACCCTCCACTTCTACGTCATCCACTATCTGATGGATTACCGGCGATGTAGTAGTGGAGACAAATTGTCCAAACTCATTTGTGATCTGACTATCCTGAGTAAAAAAATCGCCCCTAAACACATCTCCATCAAACGTGACTGGTGATACATCGTGCATGCGCCTCGGAGGATGCTCTATGTGGAATCGAGGAGGATGTGAACTGGACGGCTCACCCATGCATGAAGGTGTGTGAGTGTCGCTCTGAATATGTTCTTCATCACTAACATCATCATCATCCTGGGTCATAGGAGGAGATTGAATGGGGATGTGTACATCTTCATCATCGACCTGCAACCTCCGACTACCCCGCCCTCCACGTCTAACTCCGACAGCAGGTGCATCACGCCTTTTTATCTGCTCGTCTCCTGATATGTCCTGGGTTGTAGGCATGCTGATCCTGTGGGTGATCAAGGATAGATGCATGTCCAAGAGCACGAAGACACTCTCTTAACAACTCATGAACTCTCAATACCTTGTGCGAAGGTACAAACCCATCTGGATGCCTACCAGGATCAAGGCGCTGACTGCAATCCGCCATACAGTATAACTACATACAAAATTATTGATTAGTTTTAAAAAATATAATTTAGAATTATGTACTTTATGAATACTTACTGCAGTCTGTAGCTCCGGAGAAATGGGGATGTACCCTGGTCCGTGCTGATGGACAGGGGTCCCTATCCGTCGTCGACCCCGAAGGTAGTACCACTGACGATACTCCGGTGTGCCATCCACCATCCCAAACTCCATCTGCACTGTAGCATCATAACGTCCCTCCCACATCTCTGAATATTGTCTCTCACCATCGCCAATTTGCATAACATTTGACTTAATTTGGTGTAGATGACGGTCATAGACAACAACTTGAGGGACGTGTTGCAGGGAACCAAACTGCCTGCAAAAGCGATCAGGATAGTACATCTCCACTACGTACGCATAGATCAAGGGGATTGTAGAAATCCATATTCTGGCTCCAGCTGAACAATAGGGCGGTAGGGTCTCGAGATTCGGATACGACATCCAAACAAACTGCATGCATAAACAACTACTAAGATACACATTCAAACTAAACTATAAATTGTATAACATTATGATATCATGAATACTCACCTCTCCCTCTAGCAATCTGGTCCCTGTATGCTCGTATGGAGTGTGTGGTACCATCTGACCATTGATGGTAACACACCCATCTAGAAGTGAAGGATTATGCACAACCATGAATGAAACATACAATATGATTTTATAATATACATAAATAAACTACAAATACCTGACTCCATATGGGACATCTACCAGGTGATCCAATGGTATAACCCCTCTAGGTCTATTCATAGGCAAACGCTCCCAAGCCCAAAGCTGTAACAAGACTAGACAACCTCCAATCTGTGCTGCACTCGTCGCACTAGTACGACACATACTACGGTACAAGTAACTGAGTACCGCCGAACCAATCGCACGACCTCGCACTATGTTTGCGTCACCCATGATAATCTCTAAAAGTTACAAACTAACCTTATTTCCCGTCGTGTTGGGAAATAGGCTACCACCCAACAACTTAAACATAATCGCTCTAGCATGCTGCAAGTAATCTACATCTAAACTATGATCAGTTAGTTGTTTAGGAACAATGGCAGACATCTTAATCATAGTAGAAGTAATATCGGATGTCTGAGGCCTAAATCCAATCATGTCCTCACAAATCTGAAACCACTGATCTTTGGATCGGCCAGTCATCCCCACCAATGGATTGCCATCTACGGGCAATCCAAGCAAAAGCTCTACATCCTGCAAAGTAATTCCAACCTCTCCGAAGGGAAGATGGAATGAATGGGTCTCGGGTCTCCATCTCTCCACTAGAGCAGTGATCAAAGCCCAGTCCAACTGCAAGCCACCAACTTTCTCAGCCCCATAAAATCTGTATTCTCGTAAAAACTCAATCACACGAACCGGTCTATTAACAATAAGAGTCCTCGTATACAAACTAGTACAAGTCTTGTGGCACTTTAATAAATTTTTAGCATATTCTTCATCGCCCCAAACCGCATCACACCTATGGTCTCCCGCTTCGATTACTAAAACATCTCGTAAAATAGGTCTTGGATGTACATCCATTTGCTTCAAAGATTACAACATAAGAATATATTCAATTAATAAAAATATAACAAGACAATTATATATTAAAAAAATCATGAAGTAACCACTTATACATACAATCTATTTTGTATCAAATTTGTAAGATTAAACTATATATTTGTCAATATTTTCACAAAATTCAAAATTTTGTATAGACCAACTACAACATCATCGAAACAAATATACCAAAAAAGCACTTATACATACAATCTATGACTAGATATATTTCTTACAAAATCAAATTTATAAAATTAAAATATATATTTGTCAATATTTTCACAAAATTCAAAATCTTGTACAACAACAATCAAACAAATTTTAAAAAAACTAAGGACGAAACGGAGTACCTGACTCTGGTCGGGTTGGGTGCCATCGATCTCCCCCCTCGTTGCACTTCTCTCCCTTGGCATTTCCTTCTCTCTCGGCGTGGGCTTTTCTTTTCTGTCTGGCCAAGGAAAAACGAGTGGATGGGAGAACAAGTGGATGGGGAGGAGTGGCTAGATCTAAGATTTGAAGAGGAACGAAGTTACCTACTCTGTCTCTGTATTATTAAATCCGAACGGAGTAGCGTACTCCGTCTGGGAAATAAATCCACTCCAAATGGAGTAGCGAACTTCGTTTCTCTTATTATTTCGAAATTAAACGGAGTAGCGAACTCCGTGTTGCACTGCCAGGAAATAAAACTCTGACTTTCACTGCCAGGAATGGTTTTTAATTTTTTTTACATATATTGGGAGTTTCCTCAAACAAAAGACTCTTAATTTAATTTGATACAAAATTTTAAAAAATGAAAATTTATGATAAGATGACACACACACATATATATGTAAAAAGAAATTTTTATTGATGATTAGAGAATACGGAAATTGATACAAGAAAGGTCACAAATGGTAGCTCCCTTAACAGATTTTGGGAGTAAATTGAACCAATTGTACTGTGTAAAAATATTGTTGTGTAGTGCATGTCTGGCAAGGTTATGAGCGGCTGAGTTTTCCTCTCGATATATGTTGCGTATCGTTCCTTTGTTGGTCTCAAGAATTGATTGTATGATGGGTAAATTTCTTTTTGAGCATTGATTGTTGTTGACTTTGTTGACTATGGTTTTTGAGTCCATCCTGAGATGAATAGGTCCTCTCTAAAATTTTGCCGCCCACATTATTCCCATTGTCGCCGCTTATGCTTCTCCTTCTAGCAGATTCCTTCCTTTGACGATCAAGCTATTACCGATGATGAAATCACCTGTTTTTTATTGTAGAACTGCTCCTCCAGCCATCAATCCATCTCTTGTTGGAACATCTATGTTAAGGATCACTCCTTCTTCTTTACCTTTCCATCTGAGAATATTAATTGCTGGTGTGTGCATGATTGGTAAGTCTTGTTGGTTGAACCTTAGTTTCCTTTTATCTTTAATCGACGCCCATTCGATGAGTTTCTTCCAAATCATTTAAGTGATTTGGTAAGGTGATTTCTAACCTTACTCATGGATTCTACAATTTCTTTCTTTCTAAATTTCATTGGCGATTATGTTAGTCGGTTTAGTCGTTGTGCCCACGCCTTAGGGGGGGGGGTGAATAAGGCATTTTAAAATCTTTTTGGAGTTTAATAAAAACGGTGTTGGCAAATGCGGAAGCAATATATAAAACGCAGAAATAAAAGCATAAAAATGCACACTGATTTTATACTGGTTCGGGAACTCCCTACTCCAGTACCTCGAGGCTCCTCCTTAAGGATTTCCGAATCCACTAAGTCCCGGTCTCTTGAACTCCGTCAAAGCACTGCACTAGTTTGGCAAACAACCCTTGCCAATAGGATTCACTCCGAGATTTCACCACGGCTATCTCGAACCGTTTACAACGAAGATTTAACGGCTATCTTCTACCGTTCCCCCAAGGATTTCAAAGGCTATCCTTGAACCTTTACCCAAGGATTTATACGGATATCCTTGACCGTTACAACGTGAGAATTTAACGGCTATTCTCGACCGTAAGAAGGTGTGTTTGAAGAACACAAAAGAGGATTCTACACAACGGCTAGAATATAAAAATGAAGAACAAAACTTAGCCGGTGTAGAAAGAAAGTATACTCTCTCAAAAATACAATTCAAACTTATGAATATGAGAGTATATAACTAGAAACACAAGCTCAAAGTGTGTGTATAAAAATCAGGAATTTAAGGCTCTTAAAATAGCCAAAATATTGAAAATAATTAATAGAAGGATGAACACACTTGGAATAAAAAGAGAGAATGTTTAGAGCTTTCTTTCTTGAAGAAATATGAAGGATTGGGCTTGTATTTATAGTGGAAGATGTTAATTAGCCGTTGGGAGGTGATTAGGGTTGATTTAATTCAAAATCACAAATCAGGAACAGTAACCCAACGGTCACGGTAGGGGGGTCCCGTCCATACGGTAGCTAGGTACCTTCTCAGGCCAAAACTCTCTGGCGGTACCTATCTCTTACGGTACCCCTTACGGTAGGTGGGTCCCGTCCACACGGTAGGGGGGTCCCGTGCATACGGTACCTAGGTACCTTATGACCATTTTGACAATTTTTTTCATTTTTGTCCAAATCATTTCCAATTTTGTTTAAAACCTTTTGGATGTTTGAAAATGATTATAAAAGGGTTTTAAACATATTTTGTGAGTGTTTTTGAGCTTGTGAATATAGGTATATAAAATCATATCCTTACATTGCTTTCTACCTATATTCTACGCTAGTTTGGTGTTTTAACTTCATTCTTGAGTACCGAATCTTAATGGATTCTTGTTGTACCTGAAACACTTAAACAAACATCAAGCTCTTATATTGTTTGTTAACATCAAAACATGAGACTTAGCAAACCAAGGCTAACAATCTCCCCTTTTTTGATGTTGACAAACAATATACTTCAAAGTTAGTTAGGCGGGAGTATAAAAATGAAGCAAGCAAGCTCCCCCTAAGAATAAGCATATTTAAAATACTCACTTTAAACTTTTTCTTGTGTTTATTAAAAGTTTACGTTTGATGCAAAAGTTTACACAAGAATGCACTCAAGTCAAGTTGCATATGCACCACTTTGAAGTATACATCTTCTCCCCCTTTTGTCAAAATCAAAAAGGGCATTTTGAAAATTTTAACCATGTATAACTTCTTGAAACCCTCCCCCTATCAAAATGAATTTTTAGGAAAAATGATAGTTTGGAGATCATTGGGCAAAAGGTGCATTTACAACTAAACTTCCCCTAAAAATGAAAACTCCCCCTTAAATTATGCAAGTTTTTTTAAAAACTTTATTTTTCAGGGATTTTTGGGGATTATTTTATAAAAGGCATGATTTAAAATGGATTTTGAAAATATTATTTAATCATGCAAACCAAGGCTAAAAGAAATAAAAGCACGTATGGGATAAGGTTTTATTTTTTTGAAAAGAATTAAAACCAAACAAAATATCTTATCCCAATGAGCAAGAGAAACTTACCTTGGCTTATGCCGTTCTTTTTTCGGCTTTGAGTATACTTCTTTCCTCTTCACACACTTCTTCCATTTGAGGAAATCCGTATACTTCATTCTCATTGCCTTCTCTTCATCTTCTTCATCATTTGACTCTTCCGTAGAGCTTGAGTCACTTGAATCATCACTTGATTCACTTGACTCTTCACTTGATGATTCTTTGGAAGCTTTGAAGGCGTTTGTAAGTTTGGGATTTTCACGCATTTCTTCCTCTTTTATCTTTCTCAACAAAAGTTCGTGAGAATACAAGGAAGACCAAATGTGGGCGGTTTTGGCCGTATCACATTTGGGTAATAAGTCTACGATACTACTATGCCATTCTTTTGGTAAAGAAAATAGAATTTTCGTATTAAGCTCGGAAGTAGTATACGTCTTACCCAACTTACTTAACTTATTGACGATCTCATTGAACCTTTTGTTCATGTCTTGGATCGTCTCGCATGGCCCTTTCTTGAAAGATTCGTATTCGGAATTCCCAAGGGCAATCATCGTTTGCTTAGTTGAGACGTAGCCTTCATGAGTAGCTTGTAGCAAGTCCCATACCTCCTTGGCCGTTTTGCATGAGCATACTCGTGCAAATTCATCGGGGTCGAGAGAGCAATAGAGGATGTTGATTGCCTTTGCGTTCATTGATAACTTTCTCTTATCTTCCGACGATAATCCTGCAAAATCACCATTACTCGGCACAAACGGCCCGTGAAGTACATTCAACCATAAATCAAAATCAATAGATTGAATGAAGTATTCCATCCGCATTTTCCAATAAGAATATTTTTGGCCATTGAAAAACGGAGGGCGGTGAATGCTTTGGGAATCCATTTGGGCCATTTTTCAATAAATTTGAATTTTAATAAATAGGGAAAATAAAATTTTGAGATTTAAAAATTCAAATTTAAAAAGGGACACAACAAGTGGATCTTTGTCGTAGGTGCGGTTAAGCACTTTTAACTACGAAACCGCTCTGATACCAATTGTTAGTCGGTTTAGTCGTTGTGCCCACGCCTTAGGGGGGGGGGGTGAATAAGGCGTTTTAAAATCTTTTCGGAGTTTAATAAAAACGGTGTTGGCAAATGCGGAAGCAATATATAAAACGCAGAAATAAAAGCATAAAAATGCACACCGATTTTATACTGGTTCGAGAACTCCCTACTCCAGTACCTCGAGGCTCCTCCTCAAGGATTTCCGAATCCACTAAGTCCCGGTCTCTTGAACTCCGTCAAAGCACTGCACTAGTTTGGCAAACAACCCTTGCCAATAGGATTCACTCCGAGATTTCACCACGGCTATCTTGAACCGTTTACAACGAAGATTTAACGGCTATCTTCTACCGTTCCCCCAAGGATTTCAAAGGCTATCCTTGAACCTTTACCCAAGGATTTATACGGCTATCCTTGACCGTTACAACGTGAGAATTTAACGGCTATTCTCGACCGTAAGAAGGTGTGTTTGAAGAACACAAAAGAGGATTCTACACAACGGCTAGAATATAAAAATGAAGAACAAAACTTAGCCGGTGTAGAAAGAAAGTATACTCTCTCAAAAATACAATTCAAACTTATGAATATGAGAGTATATAACTAGAAACACAAGCTCAAAGTGTGTGTATAAAAATCAGGAATTTAAGGCTCTTAAAATAGCCAAAATATTGAAAATAATTAATAGAAGGATGAACACACTTGGAATAAAAAGAGAGAATGTTTAGAGCTTTTTTTCTTGAAGAAATATGAATGATTGGGCTTGTATTTATAGTGGAAGATGTTAATTAGCCGTTGGGAGGTGATTAGGGTTGATTTAATTCAAAATCACAAATCAGGAACAGTAACCCAACGGTCACGGTAGGGGGGTCCCGTCCATACGGTAGGGGGTCCTGTGCTTACGGTAGCTAGGTACCTTCTCAGGCCAAAACTCTCTGGCGGTACCTATCTCTTACGGTACCCCTTACGGTAGGTGGGTCCCGTCCACACGGTAGGGGGGTCCCGTGCATACAGTACCTAGGTACCTTATGACCATTTTGACAATTTTTTTCATTTTTGTCCAAATCATTTCCAATTTTGTTTAAAACCTTTTGGATGTTTGAAAATGATTATAAAAGGGTTTTAAACATATTTTGTGAGTGTTTTTGAGCTTGTGAATATAGGTATATAAAATCATATCCTTACATTGCTTTCTACCTATATTTTACGCTAGTTTGGTGTTTTAACTTCATTCTTGAGTACCGAATCTTAATGGATTCTTGTTGTACCTGAAACACTTAAACAAACATCAAGCTCTTATATTGTTTGTTAACATCAAAACATGAGGCTTAGCAAACCAAGGCTAACAGATTATGCGTGGCATGACTATCTTGGTAGTGTTATTGGGGCTTGAAGATTCTGTTTGTTGCCACCATGTCATGAGGTAAGCTCTTATTCCATGTGTTGCTGTTCTTGTGATGGAGAAGAGGGATTCAAACTCGTTCCAAATTGCCTTGCTGAAAATACAATCTTTGAGTGTGTGATTAGTTGTATCTTCACTGTTCTTGTAAAGAAAACAAATAGAGGAGAGACAAGTTTTGGATTTTGTTAGCTGCTTTGGGAAGGGGAGAGTGTGATTGTAAAGTCTCCAAATAAAAAAGGAGACTTCAGGGTATTGTTTTTGGTTTCAGAAATTCTTGAGAAAGGTGCTATGACTATTTTTCTCTCTCATTAGTAAGCCGTAAATTGAAGCTAGTCAGACCATTGCTCCAGGAGAGGTGGTTTTGCTCATCAATGCTGAGGATATCATCAGTACTATCATTTGTGTGGTAGATCCTTTTCAATGTAGGAGAGTCTATCGATTTGGGGGTGGAAAAGCCTCTAGGGTACTTTTGATGCATAAAAAGGGACCAGATAGAGTTGTTGGATGTGCATGTCCACCACATTTTCGGCTCATAAGATCTTTGGAGAGTTTCCAAACTTGTGAATCCTAGTCCATCCTCCTCCTTAGGTAGGCAGATGGTGTCCCATTTAGTCCAGTGGTAGTTGAGTTTTCCTTCCTTGCTTCCGCAAAGGAAGTTGCTCATTTTCCTGTTAACACTTTGAATCACACTACTTTGAGAAAGTAGTTTTTTGTACCAAACGTGTAGTTTTTTGGGTATAAGGATGATGTTTGAATAGGCCATGGAGTGAGGAATTTTGATTCCCAGAAAGTATTCCTGGACAACTTTGGTGACATCCTCTTTGATTATGTTCCAGCAGCTTCTAGAGAATTCCCCTGTATAGCCATGAGGTCCAGCAGCACTGGTAGGGTCTAAGTGCCATATACCTTCCTTAACTTCCTCTTCATTGGAGAGAGTAGTGAGAGGGTGGTTCTCTTATGAGGATATTAGGGTTGGAATGTTAACTGTAAATGCTTCAGCTTTTTCACTTTTTTTCTAGGAGAATAGTTAGGTGTAGAAGTAGTGTGCTTCTTCAATCATAAGGTTATTTTCTTCCAACAAATGTCCTTGAGAGGATTTGATTCTCTAAATTTTTTGGAATATTATTCTATTTTCCTTAACTGTGTTATGAAAGAAATATGAATTATAGTCTCCTTCTTTAAACCATTTGATGCTATATTTATGTTTCCAGTAGCAGAAACCATTATTGATGGATTGGGTGTGTAGTGCTCTTGTAAGGTGGAGTATGCTTTTGTTTTCTACACTAGGATTGTCATCAAAATTAGTTTCGGCTTTTTGAAGACTTTTTTCCATCTTTCTGACTTTAGAAAAGATGTTGCCAAAAGTTGTTTTATTTGAGTCTTTAAGATGTCTGGTTAGTTGTTGGAGTTTGTACATTAGGCCTTTCATTCCACCCCCTTATAAGGTGACCAGTTATCTTCCATAGTCGTCTTGAATGAATGATGATTGGTCCAATAGTTAAGGAATCTGAATGGCCTTGGGCCAGTATAGGATGGATTGTGGGCTTTGAAAAGGAGAGGGCAGTGGTCTAAGGAGCCTCTTAGAAGGTGATGTCTGTAGATTTCTTGAAATTGATTTAGGAAATGGATGTTCACAAAAATCCTATTTAATCTCCTCTAGATTCTTCCCAAGGATCTAACTCGAGTCCAACTGTAGGGGTTTCCAGTGAATGGAGAATTTAGGAGTCCACTTTCCATGATGCACTAGTCAAAGTCGACCATGCTCTGTAGGCAGGGAGAGCTTTTCCCTTTATGGTGCTCAATAGAGGAAATATAGCTGAAATCACCTCCCACAATCTAAGGGAAGATTTCCACCTTGCTTTGAGCTATGATGTTCTCCCATAATTGTATTCTTTCTTCTTTTGTATGTTTATCATAGACTCCACTTATAGTGAGCTGATTTTTGTTGATCCTATCTTATAGCTTGGTGCTAGGAATCTGGCCTTTATCACTATGAGAGATGAGGTTGAAGTGGGAATCATTCCACATCATCTAAATTCTGTTGCTGGAGCTATGTATGGAGTTTGTGAAACCTAGTCTAGTTGAAATGGGTGATTTTGGTGGGTTGGAGTTTTGGTTCAATGATTGTAATGAGGTTTACTTTATGCTCCTTTATTATTTTGGATAGCCTCTGGAGCTTGGAGGGTATTCCACAAATATTCCAAAAGAGACAATTCATTGGGATACTAACCATTGTGAACTGATTGAGCTATGTTTCTCCTGTATTCTTTTTTTTCTTGTAGTGACCATTATGAAGCCTTCTTCCCTTGACTTGATTTGGTTGTCATCATCTGCTTGTTCCTGGTTTGGTGGTTCCTGTGTATCTGTTGGTGTGGAGTTGATGTGGTTTTCAGGAATGAAGTTTTTGTTTGGATGGGAGGCTTCTTCATCCGAGAGGTAAGTGACAGAGTATTTTGGGGGGGGGGATGATTTAATACCTGTGTCATCTCGGAATGATGATGAGCAAGACTCGTTACCTATTTTTGTTGATGTTGAAGATTTCTCCTGCAAGGGTTTGCATGATGTCTTCAGAGGGTTGGGGGAGAATGTCCAAGTGGGTATTTAATGATTGGATTATGTGGGTGGTGGATTTTAGGGGTTGAATGGGGCTGGTGTTTTGAGTATTTTGTGTAGTTGAGTTGAACTGAAAGCATCCTGGTGGTGGATTTTGGTTGGGTTCAGAGGTTTTCAAAGTTTCAGTGGGTTGGGCTGATGAGGGTGTGGGTTGGGTTAAGATTATTATGGGTGATGTTGTATTTTAGATTTCATCCATGGGATTAGAGGATATATTGTTATGGTTGGGTTCTATTATGTGGTTTTGCTGAGGGTTGTTTGCTGGAGATGGGGTGTTTGGGGGGATTATTTTGGAGGTTGGGTTTCGTAGGTTAT